GCCACCCAGGCGCCCCCGGAGTTATCTTTTAAAAAATACTTCCATAAGCACTAATGTTTGGTCATATGTATATTATATTCTAACTTATCTTCTCTACCAAATTAATAAAGCATTCAGCCAAGCCCACAGACTACTTTTATAAGAGATGTTACAGGTTGCCTCCCTGACTTCCATCTACCTTCCGTATGAGGAGGCCATCAAGTTTGGGTGGGATAGTCCTAACTCCCGTTTCCTACAGAAGTCCCTGCCATGCCTAACCTACTATAGGTACAGCCCTAGTCTTGCTACAGAGATTCAGGGATGGACACACGACCAATTTGGTCTAATCAGAGTGAAACCTAGGACTTTTGTCCAATGGCTAAGAGAAGTTTGAGAGAGAAAGATTTCAGACCTAGTTCGATCTGTTTGCTGGAACTGAGGCAGCCACTTTGCTGCCAGGAGGGAAAACAGCCAAGAAGGTAGCAAATACAAAGAAGGCAGAGCTGAAGAAGTATTAAAAAAAATAATGATAAATAAAAAAAAATTGGAGCCTTGATCAAACTGAGCCTGAAGTCTAGATTCCTGCTACAAGTTTCAGTTAGAGCAGCCTATAAATTCCCTTCATGTTTAAACTAGTTTTTATAGCACTGTGACTGAATGTTCTTTAGGAGGCTGTCCCAGCCAGCCAGCCAGCCAGCCATGCACTTACCTTCTTTGATAATGTCGATAATGTCATTGGCATTGAAGCTGAGTTCATCTGTGTCCTGAGCATCATAGGCATAGAGAGCCTTGCACTGTGGCACCTGAGGCTTAGGCTTGGGCTGGGGCTTAGGTCTGCCCCCGGCTGGGGGAGGCCGGCTGCTCGTTTGCCTCCGGACACTGTGGAGAGAGTGGAGGCAGGTGAGAGACAGGATCTAACAGGAGGCAGCACCGTGTGGTGGTCTGGAGAACGGGGCCAGCACTGACCCGCTCAAGTTCAAATCCAGTTCCATCCCTAGAAGATACGTCAATTCCCAAACTTACTCTGAGAATAAAAATACCCCCGCCCCCAACTCTGGAGACAGAACTTTTGCCAGTGCCCCAGAAGCCTGCAGGTGCCTCTCCTCAACAGCCATCCTTCCCAGAATCGACCACCACCCTGCATTTTGTATTAATAATTCTGCTTTTCTTTGTGGTCTTACCACACAAAGTATCCCCAAACAGTACACATAGTTTGCCTATTTTTTTTTACTGTATAAAAGGAATGTTCTTTTTTTTTTAGGGCGGGGTAGGGGTGGGGAACAGAGGGAAAGAGAGACATAATCTTAAGCAGGCTCCACGCCCAGCGCAGAACCCGACGCAGGGCTCAATCTCACGACCCTGAGATCATGACCTGAAACGAAATCACGAGTCCGACGCTTAACCGACTGTGCCACCCAGGCGTCCCCAAAGGAATCATGTTCTATCATTTGCTCTATTTTTGAGATACACCCTAGTGATGCATGAATGTACTGGCCACGAGAATGCGTGTCCAATGGCTACGAGAAGTTTGAGAGAGAAAGATTTCTCTCTCAGCCTCTTCCGTGGCACGAATATGTCACAACTTACTTCTCCAGTCCCCTGTTGATGGTCACTTGGGATGATTTCATTTCCAGTATTGCGAAAAAATAGCAAAAATAAAACTGCTGCTTTGAATACTCTTGCGCGGGCAGTTTCTCAGCCTCAGCGCCACTGCCGTCTGGGGCCAGCACTGCTGGGGATGCTCCGAGGGGGCCGCCCCGGGCTCGGTGTACCGCAGGCTGTGAGCAGCATCCCGGCCTCTACCCGGTGGATGCCGGCAGCGCCTCCCCCGCCTCATCGCGGTCATCAAAACCATCTCCAGCTCCAGCGCCCTCAGCCGGGTCTTCGAGCTTTACACGTATTCTTTCTACACACCACACTGCCTCCAGCCTCCCTTCGTACATGTCTCAGAGGCACTGTAGCTTGAGCGATTTTAAACTTCTATCTGAAACAACTCTTTGTTAAGTATGTTCATACAGGCATTTAGAAAAAAAAGTACTAAATGTTTTCTTTCCCACTTTGCTTGAGGAGAAACCAGGAAAAGCCTACATTCATTTGCTCACAAAACAAACCTAAGTTCAAGATTTCTTTTTGGAGAAATTGGGCTGTACTCAACTCAGTGGGGCCGGCTGTGTTCACACCTGTGGCAGGAAGAAGAAGGGAGGGTCCCTCCCCTCCTCCCCCTGGCCTGAGTTGTGTGTGGGGGGAAAGCACACCCAGCTTTGAGCCGTGCCTCCTGAAGTCCCATGATAACAGATGTGCACTGGGTGCTGATGAGCAAGTTAGATAATATCTGGGTGTGGGGGGGGGGGCACTGGCTGCCAGCTTGGGGGGAGGTAGGACTCTTTCTGTCAGGGGTGGGGTTTCAGGGGGCTGCCCGGGGCTCCCTGTGTGGGTGGGGAGCAAACCCCAAGGTTACTCAGGCTCTACTCTTCTTAGGTCCCCACCTACCCACCCACCACCAAGCACTTTCATCATAGAGGACAGCATCTTGTAGATCACTAGCATGACATCATTTCCTCCCTAGTCAATTAGAAATCCCCATTCCCTGCTAGAGAAGTGCTTGCCTCTCTGAAAGCTGGCCAGGCAAGCAGGCTTTTTTTTTCTTTTTTTAAAGATTTTATTTATTTATTTGACAGAGAGAGAGACAGCTAGAGAGGGAACACAAGCAGGGGGAGTGGGAGAGGGAGAAGCAGGCTTCCTGCTGAGCAGGGAGCCCGATGCGGGGCTCGATCCCAGGACCCTGGAATCATGACCTGAGCCGAAGACAGGCGCTTAACGACTGAGCCACCCAGGCGCCCCGCAAGCAGGCTTTTAATTAAGCAACCTATACATTAGGGATGTGTCAGCATCTGGTTAATAAGAGCCATTAGCCTGGATACCAGAAGTCATCTGATTTCCCAGCAACAAGGAAGGGGGGGTGCATAGGAGGGGTGTGCATTAGAATACCCTGGGAGGGAGGAAAGACTCCAGCCTGCTGGTTCCAGGGTGCAGGGTTGGAAGGGTGTGCGCGCATGCGTGCACGCACGCGCACGCACACACACACACACACGCTCTCTCTCTCTCTCTCTCTCTCTCTCTCTCCCCGTGCCCAGATACTTGTGGATGGAGATCTGGCCTCTCTTATGTCCAGGGGGGAAACCTACGAACATTAGGGCAGTTGATGAGGCGTCTGGACCCAAGAGTATTGGGACTTAGGTATAGTCCCTGGGGAAAAAGGGGCCAGGGGGCCTCTTAGTGTGGAGAAGAAGGTAGATGATGCTCTGAAATGTAGGACTGTCCTTCCTGCAGCAATCCTGGGAGTCACCCCCTGGCTGCTCTGCCCATCACCTCCAGCTTTGACCAAACCCTGGCAGTTCCTCCTCCTTCATGTCTTTGCTACCAGTTGCTTCCTTCCCGGGCTCCCTGAATATCCCCCAACTCAGTGTCTGTTAGTTCACTTCACCCTCCACTAAAAATCCCGACAGCTTCTCCTGCTCCTGGGAAATGGACCAAGACTTGCATGGAGCCTACAAAGTCCCTGCCAGGAGTGGCCCCCGCTGGCTTCCAGCCTCCAGTCCTGCTGCAGGCCACACTGGTACCTTTCCACCTTTCTTTTATGAGCCCTGGTTGGGGTCAGGGCACCCTGTTCACGTACTCCTAGCTTATATCATCTTTAGGGGACACTGCTTTCTCCCCAAGATCAGGAACAAAACAGATGTCCGCTCTTAACCACTTCTGTTCCATACTGCACTAGAAGCTCTAGCCAGAGCAATTAGTCAAGAAAAATAAAAGGCATTCAGACCGGAAAAGAAGTAAAAATACCTCTATTTGCAGATGAGATGATCTTGCATGTAGAAAAAAACCTAAGGAATGCACTAAAAAAACTATCAGAACCAATAAACAAGTTCAGCAAGATTAGAGAATACAAGATTGAGAAAACAATTCCATCTGCAATACATACAGAAAAATATACCACGGAGGAGTAAATTTAACAAAAGAATAATTCCATTCATATAAAATATCCAGAAAAAGCTAATCTATAATGAAACAAGTAGGTTAGTGGTTCCCTAGGGCTGGGGCTGAGGGTGGGGGAAAGGAGGTTTCTTTCTGGGATGATGAAAATTCTAAAATCAGATTATGATGGGGCGCCTGGCTGGCTCAGTCAGTGGAGCATTCGACTCTTGATCTCAGGGTCATGAGTGTGAGCCCCATGTTTGCAGAGTGTACTTAAAAAAATTTTTTTTTAAACTAGATTACAATGATGGTTGTATAACTTGGCACCAAATACCGCTGAATGGTACTTTAAATGGGTTCATTTAATAGTATATAAATTATATCTCAAAACTGCTTAAAAAACAAAACAAAACAAGTAAATGACATAGACCCCTCTTGGCTGGGCAGCTCCCTGCTGATACCCAGAGTGACCTCGGCCAGTCTGTCGGCCTGCAGGTGCTGGATGTCCCAGAACCAGGCAGTCTGGCAGAGGAGCTGGGGGAGGGGAGGACTATCTAAACCCCTGGGCCAACACAGCCATTGCATGGTATTTGGTCCCAAGGCATCAGAGAATACTTCCTTAGGATAAGGCAAAGTAAAACCTATCAAAATAAAACCTCAGGGAATACTGGGGGATTGGGGTTCCCTTGCAGGCCCTTGGCAACAGTGGGCTTGGTTGTCCCAGGCCCTGGACCGCGGCCACCATGCTTTACCAACGTAAAGCCATGTGCTCGTTTATCACTTGGCTAACCAGGGTTCACAGTACCCCACATTTGGGAGCAGGGGGCGTCCAGGCAGCTTTGAGATGCCACGCTGGGTGCTGGGGAGCAGAGTGTGGACTGGGGGGCTGTGTTTGAGGGGGATGGACGTGGAGGTGGGGGACAGCTCTGCATTTTGCGATAGGGAAGTGTCTGCGTGGACAACCAACCCCGAGGTCACCGTGATCTGGCTCTTCCCTGTGACCAGGAAGGAGCACAAGTACTCCAGTGGGGCAATCGGTCCGCGCCAAGTCCCTGCGGCCCCACTCTCACATCTCAGCTTGTTTTGCCCCTTCCTGTGCGACTCAGCAGAAGGCCTGTGTCGCCTGGGAACCCCTCCCTGCAGCTGTATGAAAGCAGATCCAGATCCCCTCGCCTCAGATGAGGCTGCTCTGGGCGCCTCCCAGCGGAGCTCCCGGGCTCCTGGGACCTCCCGCCCCGGATGGCACAACGGCAGACGCGCTCCAGCCGCACACACCTTTCTGCTCCCGGGGTCTGGCCCCCCAGCCCAGCACTGCTAACTCTAATTCTCAGGATGCTTTATAGCGCGCTCTCAACAAACTCTGTACGTCAGATGCACCACGGAGCCCAGCAAGTCTGCGCCGACGACGTGCCTGCCGCCTCTCCGTTTTACCACAGCGTGGACCCCGAAACCGTCACAGAAAACCCTGTGATGGCCACAGCCATTTTATTTCCCAGCTCCGTCTTAGCCTCCGCCGCAAGCCCACACAATCTCCTTGGCAGCACTAGGTGGCGATCCTGTGTAATCAATAATGAGCAACGAGAAAGACTGCTGGCTGCCCAAGGAGACTGATTAATGGGGCCCTTCAGGGGCCTGGAGCCCTGCACGTGCAGCCACGGGGCGACCGGCCAACGCAGCCAAGAAGGGCTTCGGACTTGCTCCCACGGGAGCCGCAGCCGGCTCAGTGCGGCCCAGGAGAGGGGGCTGTCGCACCTCGGGAATTCGGCGAGTCAGCTGTTAAACACAGCCATTGTTACAGATGAAATGGAACACACAAGTTCGAAGAGATGAAAAGCAAAGGCAATAAATACTCAAAACTCAACCCTGTCTCATTATCCTACCACATTTTACTTCTGTCTACGCGC